CTATCGGACACTACTTTTTACTCTCAGTAGGTAGCTTGTTATGCATTAACGAATATCTTGCTTTTGTTCGTATGGAAAGTTGCATATGTCGTAGACATGATACCTTTGTTCGTGGTCAGCTCTCTTTACATACAAATCTTCTAGAGCCACCCATAGGCCTTTGCATTTTTTATCATTCATCTACATTTTCTCGTAGGTAGCATTTAGTGTAGATGATAGGTCTTCTATAATGACTTGTAGGAGTTTGCTTTTGTTGTATTTCATTTGCATTTACTTGCAAAGGATTAGTGTGTTTGATTGATATTGTATGAGGGTTGACTGTAAGGGTGTGCAACACATGGGCGGACCCCCCAAATGTAGGGAGGGGAGGGGGAGGGGGGGGGGCAAATGCCCACCCTATATATATATAAATATAATTTTAGAGAAAATATTTTAGAATATGTTAGGTATTTTGGGCATTTTGCCCTCTCCAAAAAATTTTTTTTCCCTAATTTTATTAATCCTAAGCATCTTTGCCCATCCCCCACAAATTTTTTTTTTTTGCCCACCTTTAAAAAAGAAGCTAGATCCGCCCTTGATGCAATAGCTCATAAGTACCTTGTGCACATGCTACAAATATACTGTCTCTAGTTACAACATTTTGTAGATGTTTTATCCACAAATGGAGCATTGCATTCATTGCAATCATTTTGTATATGCTTAATGCATTAGCTTGCATATTACTGTTGATCACCGGTTAAGCTACACACACCACTAACTTTTATGTGTATGTTGGTTAGCAAGCTACTACCTTAGCTTATATGTCTTTCATTGTCACCTGTGTACAATTCGTCGAACATGTATTAAGGGTCCTTTGTGATTCACAGATGCTCCTCGCTTATTGTTGTATGGTGACATTAACATTCTCATCAAAAATCTGTCGCCCTTGCCTTTGGGGGGAATTATGACATCCACATTACTAATCTCCCTTTCTACTTATAGGTGGGGTGTCGTATGCATGACAAATCTTTTACAATGATTTATAGAGGCTCATATATGTCTGCTGATTATTATTTCCTGCTTGTAGATATCATAATGAATAATTATATTTGTATAGATAACAAATGGGCCATCTCCTTTGTGATTTTCTCATCTTGCTAGTAAACATGATAGGGTAATTGATATGCATATGGTGGCATTAACATTCTCATATTTGTATAGATAACCCTTTACATGTTATTCGTCATTTCCCTTGAAGGTAGTTTATGCCCTGTATGGTAAGTTTGTACATCAATGCTTGCATCTCGGTTGACATGATAACTCCTTGACGTTTTATTGGAGATTTTGTGTGGTTGATTATAAGCATATCGCTGCATTTTTCATTCGACCGTTGCTTGTAAGTAAAGCATCAATCAGTAGTTGCATTCATTGCATGCTCCAAATATGCTTGTAACCATTGCAACTACCTCAAATAAATAAATTGTTTGCATGAATTTTATGGTTGCTTATGAGTGAGTAGTGTTTGTAAGATACGATCAGTTTGATATCGCATTTATCAATGCCTTCATCTATATTGGGATAATCAATACAAGTTAGATGTCAAAAAAATGAATTCTATATCAAGATTTATTGTTCATTTGTACAAAACTCTTTAGTGATGCAACCTCCTTTGATTTCATCATTTTTACAACTCATGAATTTCATTAACTGTTAGGCTTTTGGTTCAAGCTCTTGTCAAATCCAATTCTTGTCCAAATTCCCTATTATTTTATTCAATCTTGAGTTCAATTTAATGTTGCTTGGTTCAGGCTCAAAATCTAAAGTCCTTGAGTTCAGTTCGAGTCCATTGTTCAAGTTCAAATCATTTCTAAAAGTTTTTTGCATTTTGTTCAAATTCAAGTTCTATCCACTATGGTTTAAATTGAGTTCAAATCCTCAAATCATGGTTTACTTAATGTTAAAGTTCTCATTTCAATTCACTTTATTTAAGTTCAGAAATCTTTTTCAATCATTTGAGTTTGATTTGAGTCCAATATTTGCAAGTTCGATCAATGTTCAAATTGAATTAAAGTGCTTTGTATTTGCTCAAATTCGAGTCCAAGTCCAAAGTTCCCTGTTGTCCAAATATTGTATAAGTCCTCTATGCTTCAAACGGAATTTCGGTAGCCTCTCGACATTTCCCCGTTTAGAGGAAACTATGAAAAATGGGGCATTCCCACCACGCTAAGAAAAGCATGTATGATAGTTGTCCTTGGACACCGTGGCCATAATCTTCGTTTGCCACAATGCTAAGAAATGCGTGTATGGGTCTTCTACAACACCTGTTAAAAATGCAGTTATTTCACCACGAGCGGGTACTTATATGTATCCTCATTTCGCCGTAGGCGTCGCACCAGGTTCACATCCCACCACGTTAAGAAAAGCGTGTATATGCGATTTTTCGGTGCGCCGCGAACAACGAAAGTATCATGCCGAACTTCTTCCTACCACGCTAAGAAAAACTTGTATAGGTGGTCGTTTTTTCACACTGCAAGCATTGAAGATGGGCTCTCGAATTTACAAAATGCACAAAACCCTTCTTTTTCATTCTCTTTTTTACTGAACTTCTTCTCCCCTTTTTTTATATTTTTTTTCCGCTCTCCTTTTTTATCTCTCTTTTCTTTTCTTTTATCAAACCCCCTATTTTTTTGGCCACCATTTTCTTTTTTTTGTATATACATTTACATGTATGCTTCAAAATTAACAATAGTAACATGAATGATCAACTAATAAAACAAAATTTATAATGTCATAGACATACAATGCTAACAACGTCTAATATTTGTGACTATAATCAATCAATATCAATAAAAAAGAGAAGTATCAGTAAGCATTGATATTAATATTTTACACTAATATTAATATTGGTATATTAATATGAATATTAGCAACTAATAGCAATACTTATTGACAGTAAACGTTAGCAGTCATAATGAAAGAAGGAAAAAAAAAAAAAATGTTTCTCTGTTTAAGGGAAAAGTGTAGCTTAGGCTCAACTCATTTGAGATAAAAAAAATATTTCAGCAAGTGGGCTGAGACAATAGTTCTAAGTGGGCCTTGGGAATAGGCTATAATTATGAGATTAATTCCAATAGATAAACTGGGAGATGCGAGTGGCAAATGCTACTCAGATAAGACCTTATGATAGGGCGTGAAGATTTATAACAAAGCTAATTGATGATAACATCCGGCTGGTTGGAGAGGGAAATGAGGATAAAAGATGAGGTCAGTATATTGTAAGCAATGCTTGGCCAAGGGTGAGCTTCAGTTGATTGCTTAAAGGTTGGGATAAGTGGGCTGTTTTGGCTGAGATTTTGGAGAGGAATGTAAGAGTTGGACTGTTGCTGTAGTTTCTAATTTGGGCTCTTACAAGTGCTGTTTGGGTCTTAAAGAAAAGAGTGTGCTGCTGTAGAGGGGTTAAAGAGGAAGAAGACAAAACTAATGCTTTAAATGTAACTGTAGTCAATAGGGTAAAAGGAACATGCATGTCAGTATCCACGTGAATGAGAATCAAAGGACATTCATGTTTAATATGAGTTGTTGAGGGAAAAGCCAATGAATCTTTAGTGGATTTATCTATATAGAGGAGCTTGGGGTTGTGAGTGAAAGCCACGGCTGCTCTGTGGGTTTTGAGTTCAGCAAGCACAGGTGGGTCGGGATTGGTTTTACCGTGAAGAGGTGTTGAGGTTAGTTGAGCAGAGAATCAGGTCTTGGAGTCTCACATGTTTACTAAAGTGGATGCGGCATAGGTGGTCTTCACTTGGGGTGAAGAGTGGATGTTGGCTGGAGCTCGGGAAGAGGGAAGAGGAAGGCTGCTAGTGGGAATTGGACGTCGGGTAGATCGCAAGCCACTGGGGAAGTTCGAAAGTTTAGACGTGGAGAAAGAAAATAATAGCCACTTTTGACACCCCAAGATTCAAGTAGAAATTTAAAATCTTCTTAACTTTTTAAGAATTAGAATATTCCATTCCTAATGTATGTTGTGATGTAACAATTTTGTAAATTTTGTATATATCTTAGATACACTTTCATTAGCTGGTATATGAAATAACTCATACTCATTTATAAGAAGATCATCTTATGACTTCGTAATTTTGTCTTATGCCCTTATCAGTAATACTCAATCAATTTCAATTTTTTTTTTTACCAATTTTATAAGTTGATATATGCATGTAATCATCTGATTTCAAAACACAAAAGAAGTTATTTCAACCTTTTGAATTTAGTTGTGTTAGCTTATTCCTTTTGATTCTAATCATCAAAGTGACCTTCTATTGTGACGTGGTGACCTTCTATAGTACAACTAGAAAATATGTAGAGTGATGGCTATCAATTAGCTTTTAACTCATAGGCCCTTTCTTTTGAGGGGCATTATAGGTGGATACGTGAGAATGCACATAATGAAAGTAGACAAACATTCCATGCTAGAAACTTCCTTTATTTTTTTTTTCTCTGGATAATTTCTCATTGAAATACATATGTAAACAAGGTAGTTTAATCCTCAAAATTATAAAATATCGATGGCAAAAAAACTTTCCTCAACCCGCATAAAAGCAATGCCAAGCCATTTACTTGAAGTTCTTGTCACCTTTAATGAAAAAGACTGGTATTCTAGAAGCCGTCCTTCCTTGGCAATGCACGCCCAGTCAAGTTTATTTCATCATCAAACAACAATTTGAAATGCACAAGTGTTTTCTGTTGCACTTGATGTTTTATGGAAGCCAAAAGAAAAAAGGGAAACTATACTTTTTACTTCTTGAATCCATCATCATTATAATTTTTATGAATTCTAGAATCTGAACTTAAACGGTGTACATTAACTTTAGCAAGTAAATGTTAGGCAAAAAATTAAAGAAGTTTTTAGTTTTCCTAGTTAGCTTCTATTTGAGATTTTTCATTGTATGCTTCCAGTATTTTATCCTTTTCTTAGTGAATTTCTCATATCCAAATAGAAGTCATACATTGCTATTCTGTTCTTTTAGTACTGGGAGAAGGCAGAGTTTCCCTTCCATGTTATTCCAAAGCTTGCCGCACTAGGTGTTACTGGTGGGACAATAAAGGTATTGGTATTTCGAGATCTTCTTGTTTTTAAGTGTTCAGTGCATGCTAATATCAGACAAGTTTGATTCCAGGGTTATGGGTGCCCAGGCCTTTCAATCACTGCTAGTGCTCTTGCTATAGCAGAAATTGCTAGAGTTGATGCTAGCTGCTCCATCTTTATATTGGCACATTCTTCTTTGGCGATGCTTACAATTGGTAGAATTGCAAGTTTTGACATTTTTTTTTTGTGAGAAAAGCTGAACATGATTAGGAACTGACATATTCCTTATCTTTTTCATTCTCTGCATTTCCTGCCAACTAAAGGACTTTGTGGATCAGAGGCCCAAAGACAGAAATATTTGGCATCTTTAGCACAATTAAATACCATTGCTTGTTGGGTAAGTCAAATCTATATTAGGCGTCCTCTAAATTACTTAAACATTTTGTTTGAAGTTTCTTGTAATTGTTACATTCCAGGCTTTAACCGAGCCGGATCATGGAAGCGATGCAAGCTCTTTGAGTGCCACTGCAGTGAAGGTTCACTGCTTAATATTCATTAGTCGGAAAATGTTTATTGATTGTAGAAAACTTAATCCTCATATACTGTTTTATGAAAACCAATAATTTTACTTCATTAGTTCCTATTCATTATTTCTTGGTCATTGCTTTGGCCAGGTCAATGGAGGTTGGGTATTGGATGGACAGAAGCGCTGGATAGGAAATAGCACTGTTGCTGATGTGTTCATTATTTTTGCGTGGAACACGAGTACAAAGCAGATAAATGGGTAATATAATGTACCATATTTATGACTCAATTTGTAGATTCATGAAGAAAGGCTTTTGATGTAATGAAAAAGTCCTTGGATTAGTTTTATGTGCCTATAGTTTACAAATTTCCAGCATTACAGTTGAAGAGTTGAAATCGAGCGTTTATTCTGTTAGTTATTGTCTAAATATTCTAATAGCTTGATCTATTGCATTGGTTTTCTGGCTCCAGCTTTATTGTGAAGAAGGGTTCCCCTGGTTTGAGTGCGACCAAAATTGAGAACAAAATTGGCCTAAGAATTTTTCAGAATGGAGATATTCTCTTAAAGAAGGTATTTGTCCCAGATGAGGACATGCTACCAGGTGTCAACTCATTTCAAGATATCAGTAAGGTATACTATTATTGTGATTCTATATATATATATTTTTCCTTATTTAGTGCTCATGAATTGTACAATTGAATAGGAAATAACTGTCCCCATCTCATATTTTATGAACACATTCCTACTTCAACAGCTGTCCCCATCTCCACAGCCTTCTTTACCTCTCAACCCGCCACCTCCACTCATGCCGATTCCAACCTCCACTCTACTTCCCTCCCATGCATCTACTTCTAACTCACATAATCCGCCTATCCCAACTCTCTCACCTATCAACTACTCTTCCCCTGGACCATCCGCTCAGCCAATACCTTCTCCCATCAATCCTACACCTCCTTCCCCATCATTGCCACCTCCCACACATCATTCCATGCTAACCCGTTTTAAAACGGGTCACCTAAAACCAAAGGCCATTCTCGATCTCTCGGTCACCACTCAACCACATTCAACACCCTCCACATTTAACTAGGCAGTGAAGCTCCGCCCATGGCAAAAAGTAATGTCCACCGAATTTTTGGCTCTTAAGAAACAGAGAACATGGTCTCTCACTCCAGCTCTGCCAAACACTCTTATTCTTGGATGTTGCTTGACATACAAAACCAAGCTATGACCAGACGGTCAAATTGAGAACTACAAAGCTCGCCTCATTGCCCAATAGTTTGCCCATGAATATGGAGTCTACTACAAGGAAACCTTCAGCCCCATTGCAAAGATGCCCACAATTCGCATTTTACTCATCATTGCAATCCAACGTAAATGGCAGGTCCTACAATTTGATATTTCCAATGCCTTCCTACATGATCTACATGAGGATGTTTACATGAAGTAGTCACTAGGTTTCACGGATCCTGACTTTCCTAATCATGTTTGCAAACTACACAAGTCTCTCTATGGACTCACAGGCTCTACGACAATGATTCAACAAATTCACTTCAGCTCTCGTTGAGTTCAGCTTCACCTTCAGCAAGTCCGATCAATCTTTACTTCTCTACATCCATGGTGACATACGTCTGTATCTCCTTATTTATGTAGATGATCTGTTGCTCATTGGAAACAATCCCACCACCATCCAAAACCTTCTCCTCAAACTGAAATCAGTTTTTGCTCTCAAGCAGCTTGGCTCTGTTTCAACCTTTCTTGGCATTCAAGTCCAACACAATGCTACAGGCTTTTTCTTACATCAATCACATTATGCCCATGAGCTGCTACTTGCCTCGGGATTTTCATCTTGCAAACCAGCTTCCACTCTGCTAGCTATCAAACCATCTTATTGCTAGTTTGCTGATCAGCCATTTGACAATCCCAAATTATATCGAAAAATTGCTGGTTCACTCCATTACCGTACAATTACTAGACCTAATATTGTATTTGTGACAAATCATATTTGTCAAACCATGCATAATCCCACAAACCAAAACTACCAATCTCCCAAACGCCCCCTCCGCTATATCCAGGGAACTCAAAATTTTGGACTTCCATTCATCAGCGGCGATCTCAGACTGCAGACATTCGTTGATGCTGATTGGGCTACAAATAAATCTGATCGCAAGTCGGTCACCGGATTCTGCTCCTATCTTGGTTCGAATCTCATTTCATGGCAGGTCAAGAAGAAAGCTACAATTTCCAAATCATCCACTGTGGCAGAATACCAAGCTCTCTCTTCCGCCACCTCTGATGTCATTTGGCTCGTCGACTGCTAGCAGAATTTCAAGAGCAACAAATCACTCCAACCCCCATTCATTGTGACAACACCTCTGCAATGGCTCTTGCAAATAATCCCGTCTTTCATACTCGCACTAAACATATCGAAATCGATTACCACTTCATTAGCAAGCACATAAAAAACAACTTTGTTGTTCTCCATTACATCAATTCCATAGATCAACTAGCAGATATCCTAACTAAATTAGTGATAAAAAAAAAAAAAAACTAGCAGATATCCTAACTAAACCATCGTCTCCAGCCCGTTTTCATCAACTCCGCACCAAATTAATCATCCAATCATTGGATGCTCAATTTGCGGGGGGCTGTTGGCACACATGTATCACATGCTCACATGACTCGACTCTACCATCAGGGACCACCTGCTCCAGCCGCTACTATATTCTCCACAATTCTCTGCTACAGCAGTCTGTCACCAACGGCCTGCAGCTTTTCCTCTACCTTTTCTCCTTTACGTCACTTATATATAGGACCCCTGTAACAGCTGCTAAAATATATTGATGATAATACAACAATGAATTTGCTTCTTCACTATTCCTTTCTCTGCTTTCTCTGTTTTATCTAACCTTGCAGATGTTTCTTCTAATCCAACCACCACCACGACGATAATTGTGAATTTATTGCCTTTGAATTCTCTTTGCAGACAGCAGCAATATCCTTTTGACAGTCGTCCAGGTTCTTAAAGTTCAATTTTATGATAACATACACTAGATTCTGATAAAAATTCCTCAAGTTTTTAATATCAAAAGTTGAGTGCATTCCTGTCTTAGGTGCATCAAGTCAATGTTGAACCGACTCAACATGTCAAACCAGACTTGAGACAAGTTTCTTTAACTGAAATAATTGTATTGGTTCAAATCGTTCTGAATCTAGAAGTCACTTATAATGAACCATTTGGAGTCATCTAACAAGTCAATGAGACAAATCGCTTGAACAATATTTAAAACTCAGAGAAGTCTCGATTAAATAAGGAAAGTCATCAGTACTTGGCATTACCACTATTTTTACTTTATCGATCAATGCACAGAAGTCGTACTTAATTAGGGTATTCAGTAGAATTCTAACCAACAATACTCGGCCATAGTAGAAGTTGAATGCAATACTTATCTGAGATGCTCATCAAATATATAGTGCCTTCCTAATAGCCATTCAGATGGCTACAATGAATTCTTTGGCTACCCTTATGATGGTCCATCTTATAGAGTTGACCTTGGCTTATGCTTATATATATAGGGGGTCAAGCGTTATGTGTGGGTATAGAAAAAAATGGTTTAGAAATCCAACGGCTATATTTTCTTTTCCATTTCTCTGAATTCTTGTACTCCATTGGTTTGGCTTGTCCTTCTAAACAAAGGGTCTGCCCTAATTCTCTTGTTTGAATTCACTCGGAGGGAATCGGAACCATATATCTCCTCTTGTGATCTATTGCCTCGTTATCTTGTTGAGCCGTACATATCAAACCATGCACAAAAAGGGCAAAATCGGCGATCCAAGAAACATGTGCGTCGACGTGTTGCAGCACTTGATGTGACATCCCAGATATCTATAGTGAAATGATTCATCGACATATACTTTCTTCTTATTCTTTCATCTTTTTTTTTGTTTCTTCTCGCTCAGATCAATACAAACATCCAGAAATGATATTTGCATTAAAGAAAACAAAAATACATCAAAATACTATAATTCACATTTCGGCATATCATATTTACAATCCAAAAGTAGCGTCCAAAAGAACATGTAAAATAGCCGCTCGGGATACAAAACAATACAAGAACCAAAACTACAAAAACACCTATACTAGTGTCTGAAAGAAGCTTCACACGGGAGGCTCTGCACCTGAAATCATTAACCACATATAATGAGCTTCAAAAAGCCCAGCAGGTCACCAAAACCTACAACTGAAATCAAAACACAGTACGGAAGCAATATGCATGTAAATCAATCAAATCAATATTAACCATTTGCACATGATCAATGAGTCGATGCAGATACGAAAATCAGTACAGAAACAGAATTCAATGCATAAACAATAGAATCCAAATCATCAGTAGGAGAATCGGTTAACCGTAGAAAAATCCATAATGCTCAATAATATAACAATAATTCACTCATATATCCGCATTCGTAGTAATACATTGCAATCAACAAACACAATTAAACTCAAAAGAAGAGAATCCTTAAAATATCGTATAGTCGAAAGAAATCCTAAATAGAGTCAAAATACACAGTTTTAGAAAATCACCAAATTATCAGAAATCGAATAAAACAACGTTTCAAAGCTTTACTTGTAGTGAAGCAATATTTTTCAATATCCAGATAATTTTCTATTTGATAAAAACACATCAGAAGTCAAAATATCTGGTGAAAAATTTACAGAAAATACTCAAATCGTACAGAAACATCATCTCATAAATATACCAAAAGTTACGCGGTAAAAATTTCGTCAATACAAAGATTTGCACATTTTTCGGTAACGGAAACACAAAACTGAGCAGAAAAATACAAAAACTCGAAATCTTCGAAATCAGAAATAGAATTCGGAGTTCTTATTGCGAGACGAACAAATCTTTTAACAGCGGCGTCGGACGAAAAGCGCACCGTGAGCTCCAAAATCAAGCCTTCCTCTTCTCTTTTCCTTCTCTTTCTCTCTCCAACTTTTTCTCTCTCTTCCAAATGATTCAAAATATCTCAAATCCGATACTTATCAAACAGGATCGTCCCGGACGATTTGCCCTTTGGACAAATCTCATCCAGACGAAGTGTATTCGTTCATGAACGACTTGCTCTCTGGACAAATTTCGTCCCGGACGAATCCAGGTTTGTACAGACAAACTCAGGTTCTTACAGGCAGTTCGTACGTAGTAACTATACAAATTTTCAGAATTTTCTTCAATTCGTCCTGTACTAAAGTCAGTTCGTACGGACTAACAGCACAAAAAAAAGGAGAATCTGAGGGGTTTTACACTTGAAGGGTCAAACGATCTCTGATTGCCAAATGGATTATGCCGTTGCAATCACGACGTTAAGTTCGCCTGAGAGGAGACCCCTCACAGTCAAATCTAACGAGATCGGTCTAAAGGGACGACCGACGGCCGAAATTGATGCGCAACATCGCTCGACGACATACGATCACAAAACGGATCTAGCCGTTGCATCCATAATGTCGTTAACGCCCAAAGATCAATGTCAACCTGTTCAATTGGGGTCGTCCGGGCGACAACACAAATCCCAAGGCGACGATGCGCAAACTGAGGAAATGGATGTGCTACATTGTTCAAACGACGTCTGAT